TGTAAAGGTGGATAGAAAACTAGCTGGTCCATCAGACTTAGAGGGTAGTAGTCAATGAAACTCTATGTCTAGTTGGCAGCCAGTATCAAGTGAATTTTTTTCAATATCTTCATCAATGACCTGGAAGATGGCATAGAGTGCACCTTCAGCAAGTTTGCAGATGACACCAAGCTGGGGGAAGTAGTAGATACGCTGGAGGGTGGGTTAGGATTCAGAGAGACCTAGACTAATTGGAGGACTGAACCAAAAGAAATCTCATGAGGTTCAATACAGACAAGTGCAAAGTCCTGCACTTCAGACAGAACAATCCCATGCACCAATATAGACTGGGAACTGACTAGCTACGCAGAAGCTCTGCAGAAAAGGACCTGAGGGGTTACAGTGGACAAAAACCTGAATAGAAGCCAACAGTGTGCCCTTGTTGTGAAGAAGGCTAATAGCATACTGGGCTGTATTGGTAGGAGTGCTGCCAGCAGATTAAATGATTATTTCCCATCTAGTCAGCACTGGTGAAGCCACATCTGGAGTACTATGTCCGGTTTTGTGCCCCCCACTACAGAAAAAATGTGGACAGGTTGCAGAGTCCAATGAAGAGCAATGAAAATGGTCTTGGGCACATGACTTTTGATGAGAGGTTGAGGGAACTGAGCTTATTTAGTCTGCAAAAGAGAAGATTTAGGTGGGATTTAACAGCAGCTTTCAATTACTTGAAGCAGGGTTTGAAAGAGGATGGAGCTAGACTGTTCTCAGTGGTGGCAGATGACAGAACAAGGAGCAACAGTCTCAAGTTGCATCAAGAAGTTTAGGTTAGATATTAGGAAAAACTCTCACTAGGAACGCAGTGAAGCACAGGAACAGGTTACCCAGAGCAGTGGAGGAATCTCCCATCCCTAGAGGTTTTTAAGACCTGGTTAGACAAAACTTTGCCTGGGATGATCTAGTTGGGGATGGCCCTGCTTTGAGCAGGGGGTTGGACTAGATGACCTCCTAAGGTCCCTTCTAACCATCATTTTCTATCATTCTATGCTTCTATGAAACATGCTTTCTCCTTGCAATCTCAGTTGTGTCAGCCCCCGCTTTCTTGTCTCAAAGACAAGTCTGTGGGAGGGAAGGGGTGTGGGGGATCCTCCAATATAGGCCCCCACTGTGAGGGAAGGAGAGGGGCTGGGGCAGGCACAGGCCAGCCGGAGTGGGGTGGGGCACAGGATGCAACCGTGGGCAGCTTGTCCAGGGAGCATGGTGGGTGAGGAGGGAGGGTGGCTGCTACTGCTGCACGCACTCCCAGGGGAGGCACAGGGGGCATGTGCCCCCTGGACCTGTGTGTAGGGTGAGGGTAGGGCTGCTCAGGGCCAAGGGCTGTGTTGGCCTCTTCCTGGCAGGGGCTGGGCTGGGCCGGGGCTACGTTTGGGGCATGCAGGCAGGTGGTGCTGGGAGTAGGGGCTATGGGGTGGGCAATGGCCCCCACAAAATCCCCTGTAGTTTCCCCCTCCCAGCAGAACCACTGCCCACCGAGCCACCCCCCTCCCCCAGGAAGAAGCCAGCGCAGCCCCTGGCCTGGAGCAGCCTTGCCCTCACCCTGTGCATAGATCCAGGGGGCACATGCTCCCTGTGCCTCCCCCGGGGGGCTGTGCAGCAGCGGAAGCTGCCACCCCACTCTTCACTAGGGGTGTATCAATAGAGATTTTTGGGGCCAATACCAATAGCTGATTTTTAAAGAGTCATATTGGCTGATACTGATCTGATTTCTGATACACAGCCTGGAAGCTTGAAGAGCAGTGTCCAGCTGTTAAGTCTGTTGTGGTGGAAGGGGAGGGGGAAGGGGTGTAGGGGTGGGGGCAGAATGAGGTCCCTGTGGTGAGGGACAGAGTGGCATAGAATCATAGAAGTAGGGTCGGAAGGGACCTTGTAGATCTTCAAGTCCAACCCCCTGCCTGGGCAGGAAGAAAACTGGGCTCAAATGACCCCAGCCAGGTAGGCATCAAGCCTCTTCTTAAAGACCCCCAGGGTAGAAGCCAGGCATTGGGGCTAGGGCCACAGCTAGGGATAAGGCTGGGGCTGGGGCAGGGCATGGGAAGGAGCTGTGGCTCATCCGGGAGGTGCAGGAAGAGGGGGCAGCTCCTGCTGCTGCGCACACCCCAAGATGGCATAGAGGGCTGGTGCTCCCTGGATGTGTGGGGTGGGGTGGGGTGGGCTGCAGCTTTGGGCTGGGGCAGCACTGGGCTCTTCCCAGTAGGGTTTGGGCCAGGATGCACTTTGGGTGGGTAGCAGTGGCGTTGGGAGGGGGGCTATGGGGGAGGGGGGCTGCAGCCACCCCAAAATTCGCCATAGCCCCCCCAAACGTCCCTCCTAGCACTGCTGCTTGCCCTGAGCACAATCTGGCCCAAGCCCTGCTGGGAAGAGCCCGGCACAGCCCAGACCCCAGCCCACAGCTGCAGCCTGCCCCGCCCCGTCTAGATCCAGGGGGCACCTTCCACCCGTGCGCTCTCAGGGTGCATGCAGCAGTGGGAGTTGCCCCACCTCCCCCAGTGAGCTGTGGTTCTCTCCCGCACTCCGCCCTGGACAGGCATCGCCTGCCCCAGCCCCACTCCCTCCCTCTCTGCAGGGGCCTTGATCTGCCCCTCCCTACTTCCAGCACAACAGACTTACCAGCTGGATGCAGCTCCCCATGCTGCTGAGCTGTGCTCTTCACCGCCTACATGCTGCGTTGCAGCTCCACGCATGCATCAGGCATTTATTGGCCACATTATCAGCCAAAATAGGCCGATTTCCAATTGTCAGTTTCCTTTATATTGGTGCCGATCTGGTATTGGACCGATCTATTGGTCCACCTCTACTCTCTACCCCCTGGATGAGCCACCCGTAGCTCCATCTTGCACCCCACCCCACCCCAGCTGGGCAGCTCCTGCCCTTGTCCCAACCCCACTCCCTCCCTCGCCGTGGGGGTCCTCACCTTTCCCTTCCCTCCCCTGCATCTTCCCCCCCCAACAGACTTCCCAGCTGGATGCTGGTCTCGAAGCTGCTGGGCTGCATTCCTGGCCGTGTGTATCCTGTGGCTGCGCCCATGCACGTATCATTTATCACCAATGTTATTGGCCACATTGTCCCAAAAAGGCCAGTTACTGATAATATCAATTTTCCTTTTATCAGTGCCAATATGATACAGACAGATACATCAGTGCAGCTCTAGAAACCTTGGAACACACTTGTTTATATCCACACCATCTTCTCCTCTCCCCTGCATCATGGCACCTTTCTTCACCTCAGCCTCTCTCATTAACTTCTATAGCATAGGATTCCTAAAGAAAGTTTGCTCCTGACAACCAGCAATGGACTGGGGACTTCAGAGCTACTACAGTTGTGGGATCAAAGTCATCAGTGACCTATATATTAACAAGTCCCTTTCCCATGCATTTAGTCCCATACTCTCAAGTCCTGTGATCTCAAAGCTACTGGGTTTCTTCCCATTAGGAACAGCTGTCTTTTAGCTTTCTGCCTCAACTCAGCATGTTTAGAATTTTATCTGCAAACAGTTTATCCTTTTTATACACAAGCCAACTCTCTACTTCCATATCCCAAGAGGCCCTACCAATATGCTATTAAAGAGGCATTACTGCTGGTCAGACAACCTCCTCTAAGGTCTCACAAACTGTGACTACCTTTGGTGACAGGCATATTTTTGGGGGTGTTGGTTATAACTGTGTTGGTCTAAGGACATAGACAGACAAGGTTCTTTGGGTAAATGTGATATCTTTTATTAGACCAACTAAATAGTTGAAACCATTATTCTTTGCAAGCTTTCAAGTACAAACACCCTTCTTCAGGCATGGGAAGAGTCTACTGGTGTTTGTGTGCTCTCCTGGGTAGAAAAGACGCACCCAGGAGAGCTCACAAACACCAGCACTCTCCCTATGCCTGAAGAAGGGTGTTTGTGCCTGAAAGTTAGTAAAGAACATTTTTCCCAACTATTTATCTGGTCTAATAAAAGAAACATTTTTGGGCACTTGGAGAGCAGCAAAAAAGCTAGAATGTCTGTTTACTTCCATCTTATGCTGCTATAATTTTTTTGTGGCAGCACAAGGGCTATATCTGTTTGTACTTTAAGTTACCCAATCATATCAGCAGAATAGGATGGATTCTACTTCCTAGTTTCAACTGAGGTACATCTGTAGGCTCTTAGAACAGCTTTTATCCATTGAAAAGATTACACCATTTCAGTTCTGGATGATAAAATAGAAATTATGAAGTGATTTCAAATCCTCTGCGATAAAAAAGTGGCATACAGATACTGGAATGCCTCACTTAACATTGTCCTGGTTAACGTTTCGTTATTATGTCGCTGATCTATTAGAGAACATATTAACTTCAAGTTGTGCAATGTTTGGTTATAACATTACAGGGAGCTGGGAGGGAGCAGAAGAAAGGCAGTGAGACCAGGGGGCACCATGTGCGTGGACGAGGGGGCTGTGGCCCTGCCCCTCATTGCTGATTGGTGGCAAGGGATGCCTGTCATATGGCTCCATCCCTCACCACTGATTGGCTGTGAGGGCTGCTTGTCATGTGGCAAGGGGCCCTCAGATCCTTTCATCCTCACCACTGCTTGTTGGTAAGGGATGAGGCCACATGACAGGCAGCCCTCGCGTCCAATCAGTGACAAGGGGCTGAGGCAGCAGCTATCTTACTGGCAGTTCTTGAGCATGCATTATCTTTTCAGTAAGTTTTTTTCCCCCCACCCTCAAGTGGATTTCACAGGTATTACCCGATTTCACAAAATCTGTGAAATCATGATTTTGGTAGGTCCCTATTTATTATTAAATAAGTCTGTAATAGGAAATGCTGGATAACCTTAACTATCAGTAGCAAATACAATACCATTTAGAATAATGTATTATAGTACTAGTGACTAATACAGGAACAAGATAATAGCTTCACATTGAAATCTATGAGCATTTTTCCATAGTCCAAACAACTTTTGCTCTGACTCCAAGAAGAAAACACCGTACCTAGGGCTTTCACAGCAATCTGCCGAGTTAGTGGTGGAGGAATGTTGATGCAAACCAGATCTACATCCTGATGCAGCAAGACATCATCAGTCCGACTTGTGTAGAAGGAAATGTTCATTTCCTCTGCCAGCTGCTTTGCTTCTTCTTCAGTCTTCCCCCAAAGTGCTTCAATGGAGAAACCTTCAGCTCTTAGCAAAGGTACCAGTACTCGGGCAGTGCTGCCAGTCCCAAAAACACCCACTCCAGGTAGCATTTTCATCGTGTTTATTCAAGCATTAGTGTCCACATGCAGACCACAAACAGAAGGTCAAGCTCCTCAGTGCTCCATTTCAACCACAGCTTCTAAAACAAAGGTTAATAGTGGATATTAGCGAAGAGTATGTTTCCACATACAAAGCATGCTACCAAACACTACCCTCTCTATCACTGTAGTGTCATAACTAGACATTCAAATACTCATGACATGAACTAAACATAAGGCAGAGAAGTAAAAGCACAGCGTGCTAGAAGATCTATAGATGCCCTTGTGTTTGATGCAAATGTGCATTGCCAGAGGCTATATGTCTTTGCAAGTGGCCGTCCATCTTGATTCGGAAGGGAGCCAATTGAGTGAAGTTTAGACATGTGAAACATTGGTTTTCAGCATCAAAGCAGGCCTCTAGGACTGTTAACACTTTTTTGAACATGACACTTCCCAAATAGTTATCTTGGGAAACGTCAGACTGGGTCTCTCTGTGATGGTCAGACTAATGGATAATCTCTATTCCTGAGATCTACCTATGGCAAAATATTTCACACCAAAACTGACTTCTGACAATGTTCATTCTTAAACTTTTACATTACCCATGACCATCTCTTAAATTTGCTCCAGTGTCATTGGTAACAAGGTATATTAAATTTTAGGTTTATTAGAACACAGAGAATATTTTATTCAATATACTTTCCATAATTTTTTTAAAGTATTTGTTTGCAAAGACTGCATGATTTTTTTACAGAAGATTTTTTTATTCATACACTTAATCTGCTGGGGTACAAGTAGTTAAAAAACAGGAGAAACAAATCACATACTATTATTAATTAAACATTTATTTTAATTACCAAAAATTAATATTACTGATTCACTAAATACAAGTGTTTAATCAAATCCAAACTGTTCATCCGCAGTCCTGGAAACAGTTCCAGTTTATGAACAGCAACAACCTACTTCTAGGGATCTACCAAATTTGCGATTTTGCCTGCAAAATCCACAGCGCGGGGGGGAGGAACGTACCAAAAAGAAAAGCCAACTCCTCAGAGAGAGACAGCAGTCCTCAGCACACTGCAGCAGTAGGGAAGGGGGAAAGAGGGGCTGCTCACTCAAAGGGCTGTGGGCAAGATGGCTGTTTTCTCTGCCCCTGCCCACTGATTGGCTGTGAGGGCTGCCTGTCATGTGGCCCCTCCCCATCAATCAGCAGTGAAGGGCAGGGCTGCATGATGGAGAGTCCTGGCAAGCAATTAGTGGGGATGGGGCCACAACAGGCAGCCCCCACAGCTAATCAACAGTGAGGGGTGGGGCCACTCAGTCAATAAGAGGTGGAGGGAGGCACCATGCAGCATGTGAAATGGCTGCTTGGCCTGCATTCTGCCCGTGAAATTGGGGGCAGCCTCTGCATATTAGGTAGGTACCTACCTATTTCATACAAGGTTGCCACATTTTAATTTCTTCGCATACACTGTAGCCTAAGTTTTCCATTGCTATATCGTAACAGAATATTAATACATTAACCATAAACAATTCATTTGATCACCATTTTTTCCTTTTTTGCCAACTCCTCATGAACTGACATCTGCTTTCTAAGAGGCGATTGATTACTGGCAATGTACCAATCAATGGATTTACTCTTTAGGGACTTACCTTCACAGCTAAAAGAAACAAAAAAGACTTTTCCATCAAGATAACAGTAGATCGATAAATTTACTACTTGGTAAAGCTATTACAGTGCCTTGTCTTCATGATTTTTCTACCTTGGTCAGTTTATAGACATTAACTAATCTTAAATAAAAAAAAAAAAAAAAAAGGCCTTGAAGAAATCACTTCAGCTGTGAATAAGTCCTTTGAACTTTTATCTTGTGGCCCTACTTAAGGAACACAGCTTTTTTTGTAGAAGTTGTGTGACTTTAAAAAAGTCAAAGTAGAAGCAAACCTAGAAACTGATGGTCTTCCCAAACCCTCTTTTGTAGCTATATTTTTATTAAATTATTTAAACATATTAAAAAATACATGACTTGCCTAAGCAGAGCAAATTTTTATTGACGGATAGTCTGCAACCTTTACTCGCATTGAGTAACACCTTATTCCTTACATATTCCCAATGAAAACAATGGGATTGTGTGTAGAAAATTCTTTTACAGGTTTCCCTTGCTTTATGTGGGTTCTTACGTGCAAATTCACTCTTATGCAATGACTCTTTTTATACCAAAAATTTGTTATATGCGAGGTAAATTCACTTTTATGCGATTGGTGTGGTAGAAGTCCGCAGTCAGCTGCTTTGTGCGGTGCATTGTGGGAGTGATGCGCGCCAAAATACAGTCTCCTGTGTGGATCTGTGCTCCTCGCCTACTGTCTGCAACACCTGTTTCTGTTGTTGCCATCCCCATTATGGCACCTTGTGCTTGTGTGTACCGTCTGCTGTTGGTGAGTACCAAAATTGTCTTGTAAAAGTGGCAGAAATGGGTCTGGGGGTCAGTAGAGTTGAGGTCTTGGAACATATCCCTCCCTATTTGTTACATTGTAAAGTGGGTTCCCTTTACGTGAATTTGAGTTATGTGCCGTTTTCCAGGAATGCACGTACAGCATAAAGTGAGGGAAACCTGTACATCTGGGGCTGGCAACTTATGGCCCACAGGCCATAACAGCCACTGGATCTAACCCACAAAGCTGGAGGGCTTTGGTGGCATTCTAGTGACAGACGGCTTCAACTGTGCCACGACCACGAGAAGCAGGCTTGGCAATGACAGCAGCTGAGTCCTGTACCAGACTCCCTCAGACCTCAGCAGGTTTATTCCAATCTTCAGCTAAAAAAAAACAAACCATAAAGCAAACTGCTTCCAACTACTGTTCTACATAGTGTAAGGAAGGCTATCAATTATGCCCCTATTGTCATTGTTATCTGAATTTCAAGAAATTTCCTCTACAGAAAAATTCTAACTTGAGACCACTTCCTTTGATTCCCATGCTACTGCATTAAACTTAAGGACCTACTCAAATCATGATTTTGCAGAAATCACGAAATCAGATGATATCTGCAAAACACTGGGGGGCGGGGGGGAGCAGAGACTTATTAAAAATAAAATGCTGGCTTCCCAGTGGAAGCCAGCAGTCCTCTCAGCCACGCAGCCTGCCAAGCGGTAAGGGAGGAGGGGGCCTGCTGGCATGAAGGGGAGCAGGCAAGATGGCTGCTGCCCCCACCCCTTGCTGTTGATGGGCTGAGCGGGCTGCCTGCCATGTGGCCTGCCTTCTCCACCACTTGATGGCAAGGGACATGGCTGCATGACAAGCAGCCTCTCCACTAACCAGAGGTGGGGGGCGGGGAGGGGGGCAATGGGCCATTGCAGCCAGAGGCATGTCCCGTTGTGATAATCCTGTGAAAATGGTGGCCAGCCCTGTGATCTGCCCAGGAAATCAGTTGCCTGCCTTCAAGTCGGGTAGGCTCCTAATTATACTTGTTACTACATTAAATTCATTTTAGTTCACTTGGCTGTCATTGGGACTTCTTTTCAATATGGATTTACTAATTTGCAACATTCTTGGCTTTCAAAGTTAAGGTAAGTGTGTATTTGTGTTTCTCTTATCAATAAAATTCATTATATCCAGGTTCTCTCTTCACGGTTTGTTTAGAAAGCTTTCCTTTTTTTAAACAAAACCAAAAATCAAGAAACATGTCTCTCCTTTTACTGTTAAGCTAGGGAGACAAAGACTCAGAAGTCAAAGAGGAAGCCTTCTACATCATCTCTGTAATTGACTCTACAAGAGCCAATGGAAAACTGTTCCCAAGTCACAAAAAGAAATAGCATCTCTCTCATTTTAGAAAATTATCCCAGTCTGCACTAAAATAAATTCCTAAAGGTTATTTAGCTTTATAAAAAGGAATATTTAAGTTCACTTTTCAATTTTCAAAGAGCAAAAGAGATCTTACTTCTAAGAAGAAAACAGGTTTTCAAAAATATTATTGCCAGAGCTTAACAATACCAACAGGTCAAACAGCAATGTTATAATTATGGTCTTGGGGAAAAAAATGAACACAAATTATTCTATCACCAACAAAAAAACCCAATCTTTTTGGTAAGAAACTGGGTAAAGCACCACTTACAATGTACAGTACAGACCTTCCCTCTTTAAAAAAAAAAATTATGCTGTAAGTTACAAAATATCTAGGAAAGTAAAAGAGAAAGGTATTGTAGTATTATGAAGTATGATAACATGTAAATGAGTCAATCCATTCAGACTTCAAAGTTCTTGTATGTTATTATGCAACACTTAAGCTCTTCAGGGTAGGAACTGGATAGCTATACAAGCTTACATATCAGAGGTGGGCAATTTCAGCTGGCGGGCTGCTTAACGACTTCTGAGCTGTCGAAGGCTGCAAAGGTGGCCCAGACCCTTGACAGGTGCCCTGAACCCTGATTGCCATCTTGGGACCAGAAGTCCCACCCCTGACCCCTGACCTTTGCCACCAGACATCTCCCTGCCCCTGGAAATCCCTGTGCCATTGGACATCCCCTGCCTCCTTTGGGTGGGGCAGGGCAAGGAGAGTTGCCATCTTGGAACTGGAAAAAAAACAAGCCACATACTAAAAATCAAACATCTACTATAACATTTTAAAATCTTATTTCAAAAAATGTGTGTGTCCTGATTTACGTGTGTTTGCATAGTGCAGGGGTTTTCAACCTTTTTTTAGCCTAAGTACCCCCGGCAACCAGACACCGAGCTGGGGGGTGGGAGGTGGTGTGCAGCTACATGGAGAGCGGGGAGAGCGCACAGGTGGGTGGGGACAGTGCCGCTGCCTTCCAGGAGCAGGGCGGGAAAGCTCACTGGGCTGGTGTGGTGGCAGCGATCGCTGCATGTGAGCTTCCCCACCCTTCAGAGGGACGCTGCTGCCCTAGCCCTGCCCCAGCCCTGCTCCTGGGAGGCGGCACTGCTCTGTCCCCGTCCTCCCATGCGTACCCCCTAGGACCAGTCCAAGTACCCCTGGCGGACAACCTCTAGTATAGTGTATATAGAGGTGACGGCGTATTACCTCAAAATAAAATCTTACTCTTGCACACTGTGTGCAGGGGGGGGGATAGATGTGGGGGGGGGGTGCACAATTTGTGGAGGAGGGTGTGGCAGTGCATGTGGTTAGGTGAGGTGTGTGGGTTGGTGTGGGGCCCCCCCTCCATGGCGCATAGCCTTTCTCTGGTGGCAGCAGCAGCAAACCCTCAGGGTGCTCCTGACCCACTGCAGGTTGAGCCCCCCAGTGGTGCACGGCTCCAGATGAATCCAGGGAGCCGCACGGGGCAGCACAGAGCCAGCTCGGCCCAGCCAGACGGCACACGGTTCCCAACTGCAATGCTAGGACCCGCACATAGCAGCATGAAGCCAGCCTGGCCCAGTGGCATGCAGTTCCCAGCTGCAATGCTGTGACCTGCATGTGGCGGCATGGAGCCAGACCAGCCTGAGTCAATCGCACATAACTCCCAGCATTGGGCCGGGCCAGTTCTGTGCCTCCATGTGGGGCCCATGGCACTGCAGTGGGGAGTTGCTCATGGAGGCACAGAGCCTGCCAGGCTCAGCCCGATGGTGCACGGTTCCCCTCAGCTCCTGGCTGCAGTGCCAGGAGCTTCACATGGTGGCATGCAGCCAGCCTGGCCTGGCGGCACTCATTTCCCAGCTGGAGTGCCAACACCTGTGGGGAGTCCCATGCCATCAGGCTAAGCTGGCTCTGTGCCTCCATGTGGGGCTCCTAGCACTCAGCCTGATGGTGTTTGGCTTCTGCCAAGAATCCCACAAAAGCTGCATGGAGCAGGACAATCACCTGCATTCCCCCACTGCCCCAACTTTCTCCCCACAGGAGTCCCTGGGGCCCTTCTTCCCTGAAGCTCCACTCTCAGATGGAGGAAGGGCAGGGGAACAGCCACAGGGCTGCCAGGCAGAAGCTTCTGTATGGCAGGGCAGGCTGGGGCTGAAGCTGGTTGCTTCACAGCCAGAGCCTGAGGTGATGCTGCAGCTGATACCCCCCCTCCATCAGATTTCAGACAGGCAGCCACAGGCTGGTAATAATTTTGTTTTAGAGGGGCCCTGTGGCCAGGTAGAAAGGGGTGGGCCAGGTTCTGCTCACGGGCCAGATTTTGCCCGCCCCTGTTACATATTGTCAAGTATGACTGGCTCAGTTCTGACTAGAGTCTCTGGGTATGTCCATTATAAAAAGGTAAAATATAATTCAGAACAATAGCAAAGTAATCCCAGCACCAAAGAAACTGTTTGTTAGACTTACATAAATGTCTATGAAGAGTATGAAAAGTCACCTTGTTCTTGCAGCAGCATATTGGTTTGCTTTTTTTCCCTGGAAAGAAGAAAGGCTTACTTGTAATTTCACTCAAGAGTTGACAGATATCCAGTATTAAACATATGCCTGCCAGAAGAGTTTGGCAACAAAGGCCTTTGAAGAATATTTATAAAGATTTCATTTTATTGATAGGAAACGCCGTCCATTTCACGATTACTTACGGTTAACTTTTGTGGGTCAAAAATGCCTTGTATCCAATTGGTAGTTAAATACAAAGAATAGGAATGTAACCGTGTTCCTATGTTTGCCAGGGCTGTGGCTTGAAGGAGAGAAGTAGTGTGGGGTAGAAAGAACATCACAACCTTTGATGATTAAGTAGTGAAAGAGCAAAAACTAACAAAGCTTGTTACAAATATCTAGGAAGGCTTATATTACTTGAAACTTAAGATGCAACCCCAATATATGCTTTTAAAATAAAACTGATTTTTGCCAATGGATGCCACAGCGCCATAGCACCTTGTGTAGATGTGCCCACTATTAATCCCTTCAAGTTTTGATTTTTCTATTTGTCATCCTGACTACCTTTAAAAAATCACATGATGATTTCTAAAGTAAACTGATGAGAAGTGACGCTAGATTTTTGCATCAGCAGACAAGCACAAAGCAGAGAAGCCTACAGTTAGGAACCATTCCCTAACCAGATTCATTTTGGGGATGATAGTGTCAGGTATAGTATTTTCTCTGAATCTAATTTACTAAGATATTGTCTGGTTTCTATTTACACCTAATATTAAGCTATGTTCAGTGTTATCCATTTTTATGTTTATATGAACTACAATATTTACTATGCTTTTTGTAATGTTATAGTGTGATTGGAAATAGTTAAGTAATTGCTAACTCATATGCCAGGAATGTCCCCAGACTAGACTTCTCTCTGATTCACACTTCAGAGAAAGTCCTAATCTCTGAAAAATGCACCTAAAATTACTTTAAACATTGACAATGTATACTTGGATAGAGGCAACATCCTAAACAATTGCTTATAGTTTATAGGGAAAGTCCTTAGCAAAAGGAATGCATTTTCAGGAGACAAATACATGGAAAGAATCACATGCAGAGGTTGTATTTTTCACCCCTGTATAACTGTGAACCAAAGAAATTCAATTAGGGATCAATATTTATGAAAGGATGCAAATATTTCTATAGGTTTTGAATATAACTATAAAATTAGGAATATCATCTAGCTTGACACACAGACACACATCTGAAGAGAGAAGAGTCTTCTGCATAATGTACACATGCTTCCTGACAACTGAATAGAAAAATGTAGGTGGGGTAGATAACGTTATGGCTCTGAAAAAGTGCCATTTGAGGCAAATATGGTCTAGAGATTCCTAGCCTTGAGATGATCTATACCCTGGAACTATAAACTTGAACAACCAGCATTGCAAGCTGAAAAGAGGCTTGTGGGAAACTAGCAACAGAAAGTGAGACAGTCCCATTGGTCAAGTTATGTACTGTGTTTTACTAAGAAACGTAGGGTGAGATCTAACTATTTTTTTCTGGTTATTTTTCATGTATTCTGTCTCTACATCCTACAGTTGCTCATTTAGGCGATTTACATTGCCTGTGTAAATAAGCCCTTTTTCTATTTTATCTTACTGATTTCTGGTGGTAAAGGTAATTTTCAAAACAAATTATAGTTGCTTCTTTTGCAGAAGAGGGGACCTTTAATGTTACACAAACCATAGGGATGCGTCTCAAACTGGCAAAACTTCCTCTCCTGGTACTGCAAGACTTGGATTGGGCAAGTAGAACCAAGACTTGCAGGGATGTAAAGTTATCCTGGGGCAAATCCTAGTCCAGGGTTGGGCAAAATGCAGCCCACCAGGCCATTCTATCCAACCTACGGGGCCCCTAAAAATTTAGAAAATTAATATTAATCTGCCCTGGGCTGTCCGTCATGCGGCCCTTGATGGCTTGCTGAAACTCAGTAAGTGGCCCTCTGCCCAATATAATTGCCCGCCCCGTCCTAGTCTGTCCCCAGTGGACAAGCCATAGAACAGTAAAAAGAGGCTTGAAGCCAAAAGACACCCTGATAAATAAAACCAGTGTTACACCTGCCTTAACCTGGTGGCAGAAGCTGTTTCTTACAAGGAGTTTGTGAAAAGCAGGGTTTGAAGAAGAGCTGGCATGTACTATTCACTGTATTGCAGTTACTATATCCATCTACTCTTCAAGCTGTAACTCATTCCAAATAATAAACTACCTTTAATTTAATAAGATACTGGCGTTCCTGATGAACCAAAATTTGACCAACCTGCTTAAATACAGGAGAGAATCATTTTCACCTTTGCCAAAGTATTCACTATTTAAACAACGGCTTAAGGCTATGCCCAAGTGAGGATTATGATGGCAATTTGTCTATTTTGCAAGACATGCACAATAATTTGCGTAAAACAGAACAGATTATTTGCCCTTCTCCTTAGGAGAGATGCAGCCTGTATGGGTTACAGACCCCAACTTTCCTCATACCTAGGGACAAGATTTCAGATAAAAGTTGATAAGTGGAAACTCAGGAGAAAAAAAGAAGAAATAAAGAAAATACAATCTTTAGCATTTTTAAACTATCTGCAAACTTTATTAATGACACATGAGGCCAAATATACATGTTCATTGAGAATGCAATTATGCTGCAGTCTCAGACCACAGGGGATAGCCCAACGCCATTAATGTCTCATTGCTTGATTTATAAAACATCTTTGATTAAATGAATATGTGGTAGCATATCTAACACCACTGTGAACTATACAATAGATACCCCAAAGCTTTATTCACGTTGTTTTCTCCACAGGCTGTTGTAAAGGCTGATTACTTGTAAACACCGAATTATATGCTTCCACCCTGCTAAAGGGCATGGCATTGCTGGGGACATACAGTTCTATAAATTAAACTTTTAGTCTCCAAATACTCTCATTATGCCTCATGTTCAAGGATCTGGGTTTTCAGTTTCCCATGGAAAAACAGAGTAAACTGTTTTCCCCCTTTACTCGAGTAAAATGTGGACTTCTCATTTTAGCAGAGAAACCCACAGATTTTATAGTTTTGCAGTGAGCCCTCTGCAGGCTGGCACAGTTCCAGCCTACAGGGGGCTGGGAAGGAGCAGGAGCAGGAGCAGGAGCAGGATCAGGAGCAGGGCAGTCAGGCAGGGGGTGCCGTATGGCCCCAGGCAGCCTGGACAGCAGCTCCAGCAAGTAAGTTAGGTGGGGGATTGAAGCCCCCACAGGGAGGGAGTTGGGCAAGGCTGGGGCTGCTGCCCTGCTGGGCAGTGTGTGGGGCTTGGGACCCAGGGCCACAATGTGCAGCCTCAGAGCCCTGGCAGGGAGCAGGATGAGGCCACGGGTGGCTTGTTTAGGGGCAGGAGTGGGGCCGGCTTCCCGCGACAGCATGCGCTCCTGGGGAACAGGGGGGCCTGTGCCCCGCAGATCTGTGTGGGGGGCGTGGGTGTGCTTGTGCTCCCCACCCTGCTGCCCTCCCCCGGGGCCTTCGCAGCGCAGTGTGCGCGACCTGGCGCGGCGAGGCACAGGCGGGGGCCGCGTAGGAAAGCTGCTTGTCCCTATGAGCTCTATGCTGTCCTGGTGACACTTCCCCAGCACGCATGGGCAGTGGCGCAGGGTTGTGCCCCCTCACTGCTGCCTGCATGCACTGGGGAAGTGTCACCAGTGCAGAGCAGAGCTCACAGGGGCAAGCAGCTGTCTTGCGCGGCCCTGCTGCACCAGATCTCACACACTGTGCTGCAGAGGCCCCGGGGGGGACTGCATCAGGGCGGGGAGCACAAACCCGCAGCATGCACCCGCCCCCAGCACAGATCTGGGGTGGGGGGCACAGGTCCCCCCTACTTCCTGGGAGTGTACGCTGCGGCTGGGAGCTGGCCCTTTCCCTGCCCAAGCCTGCAACAGGCAGGCAGCAGGGGGGTGCCAGCTCCATGTTCCTTCTGCAGCAACTGCCTTGTGTTGGGGACAGGGGGCTGCAGACCTGGGTCCCTGGCCCTGTATCCCTGGCAGCTGGGGGCCCCCTCCGACAGGGCTTGGGGCAGGGGGGCAGAGGCTGTGGGTGAGGGGCAAAGGGCACAAACAGGAAACTGCTGGGGGGAAGGAGGGGCACCAATAGGGCTGCAAGGCTGTTGTGGGGGGAGTGAGGGGCACCAGCAGGGCCAGGTGGGGCTGTGGGGGGCCTTTAATTTTAAATTACAGATTTTGGGGTTATCAGAGAATTTGTGATTTTTTATTAGAGAATGTGCAATTTATTTATTTTTTTTTTAATCAGAGAAAACCAGGATCCCTGCGGCCTGCCCTGAGACCAACGCCATACCTGCCAAATCTTAAAAACGCTAGCTGCTTCTTCAATTTAAGCCAAAAGAGACATGTCAGCATCTCCTGGGAAAGATAGCTGGCATATAATCAAAGACAGCTACAGCCTCAAAAAAATTAAGTTTACACATTACTGACCATCCTGTTTTCAAAGCCAAGTTCCATCTGCAGTATTCCACTTGGTGATGAAGTAGCTCAAAAATACTCCAAGGGAGGAACATCAATGGATTTTGTTATCCTTTAACATGACACCAGACAGTGTACTGTAACTGAGATTACTTTTTTAAACAACACCCCCAACTCCCATTCCTAGCAAAAGTACGATCAAAACAATTCTTTACAGAAATGTATGTATGGCAAAGCAAACGCATGCAATTTCAAAGGGAAAAACATGTTACAGCCTTGATTCTGATTCCCTTCACCCTATAATGACAACCCATTTGCCTCCACTGCTTGCAACCTGCATAAAGGGTCACATGATGGAACTGTTTACTTCCAAAACTCAGCATCAACAGGCTGCTGGTCAGCACTGGCTGGGCAGGTGTGGACAGGCCCCCAGATCATAGCATCTGCCTGCCAGGGACTAGGCTGGTTTCTAACCCTCTCAAGTCAGACTTGGAGAAATAACACTATCCAGAACTTCTTTGAGGTTTTTGCCCTTAGACCTTAAGGCACTTTGCAAAATAAGAGCTGGCTGAAAAACAGTTTCCCATTTAATGGAGAAACTTTATTTCTACCTGCTTTTAAAAGACATTTTCCACCTATGAAATACAAACAGGTCTAACTGCAACAGTGGGGCTTGTGAAAGAAATACTTGGTGATGGGTTCCTTGAATTTTTCTGGAATAAGAAGCCTTTGTTTATTTAACACGCTTTAGTTAAAGCATCCTGCCACCATTTTGAAGTGCAGGACACTGAATACAAGTCATGCTGCTGGCACTTTTTAATTACAGTGGCTCTTGGAGCCGCTCCAATTAAAGCGCCCTCACCCCCACCCTGGAGCACATGTAAAGATGCCCTCAGGGACCAACCCCCTTGAGACCTAAGGATGGAGGAAACCTGATTAAGAAAAGGGGAGCCATCAACGCCCGCTGGAAGGAGCATTTTGAAGACCTTCTCAGTCAAGACTGTTGATGAGAATTT